GCCCCCGCCACATTCCCCCACCCTCCCTCACACCCCATGAACACCACATACCCACATATGCACCCCCCAACACACCCTCCCACCCCATCATACGCATACATACATGATATACAAGACGTTTATTTTTAAATAAGACTTTATTTTTGAGTTATTATTCAATTGCCTCTATATACACAAGTCATAACAAAAATATTTTTGTAATAAAATTAATGTTATAGTAGGTGTTTGACTTTTATTGCATGATTTGTTTTTTTTCTGGTTCTAAGATGGCAAGCCCCCCACCCCCAAAAGGAGTATTTCTGGGGGGCAAGGGGAGGGACTTCTGGCAGCAAAGGTAAGGATTTGGGGTGGGACTTCTGGTCCCAAGATGGCAACCAGGGCAGGGCAACTATCAAGGGGCGGGGCTATGCACATGGCCCTCGAAAGCTCACCAAACCTCATTAAGTGACCGTCCAGCCAAAATAGTTGCCCACTCCTGGAGTACAGGGCTTTTGACTAGATGGGTCTCACTCCTGTGCACCAGCTGAGGTGCCCAAGAGTGAGGGACACTGGCCTCTCTGTATAACTGGGGTTCATACTCTTAATAGTGGTAGGCTTTAGGGCAGGGGTTTTCAACCTTTTTTAACAAGTGTACCCCTTCTGTCTCAAAGTTTCAACCAGATGGAGTGGGGGTGCTCGAACACAGAAGCCTACAAGTGGCATCAAGCCCTCATGGGGTCCTGACCAGGTGGCCTTAGAAGGAGCCCTGTGGCCTCTGGCAGAAGTTTTATGGGCCCAGGAGTGAGGGCTGGGCAGGCTTTGGCAACAAAGGAAGAAATTGCTCAAGTACAGCAAGTCCCAGCCCCTCTCCCCACCTGTCCCCCTCATAAGATGGCTCTGCACCCATGGTGCAGGTGGCTGGAGCTTGCTGTATGGATTTGGGTGGGGGGAGCACAGGCTGCTGCTCTTGTGCTGACTCTGCCTCCCGGCCAATCAAGAGAGCAAGCTGGGGTGGGGAGGTGGTGTGGTGTGGTGTGGTGTGGTGTGGTGTGGTGTGGTGTGCTGTGTGGGGCCAGTGGCACCCAATGCATTCTTCCTCCTCCCCCTCCCCCGGGCAAGAGGCAAAGTGAGGGAACATGCCAGGGGAGACGCCACCGCTATGCCCTGCCTGGGGCATGCTCCATCCTTGCACACCCATGCATATCCCCTACAAGAGGGGTGAGCAAAAAGCAGCCCACCAGGCCATCCTATCCTACCCACAGAACTCCTTAAAAAAAATTAGAAAATTAATATTTATCTGCCCCGGCTGCCTGTCATGCTGCTCAGTGGCTTGCCAAAACTCAGTAAGCATCTCTCCACCCAAAATAATTTCCCGCCCCTGCCCTACAACCTTTCTAAGTACCCCTGGGTGTATACATACCCCTGGCTGACAGCCCCTGCTTTAAGGGATTAGTGAGGAGGAGATGACTTGAAGGGAGACTTGTTCTAGTCTTGAATGTCTGATAATTGAGACAAATTCAGTATGGAGCAAGAATGGGTCAGGTAGCTAGCATGTGCTTTCCATCACTTTTAACAACACCTAGATTGAGAGTAGTATTCTAAAGGGCTTCCAGTTATCAATTCCTGCAAGCACTGTTAAATAGGAACATTTTTTTAAAAAACAAGTTTATGATGCAGGAGTCAAGCATCTCTGCAATCCCTTCCAGATCTGGTTGCTGTCCTGTGTCCTAAAGGTCCTCTCCGTATGCTTGTTGAAACAGCTCAAGAGAGAAATGAAACTCTTTTCCCAGCACTTATCTACTCATGTAAGTATATTACAGTAATGATTTTAAATTTGTGATCGCCTGCCTCACCTGGAGTTAAGAGATTTAGTAATCCCACAGACTGCCTTTGCTTTATGTTCCATTGCATGTGCAGCTAGAGTTCACATTTCATTTCCTTGGGTCTCAGTTCTTCATTTGTTATTGGCTCAGAAACCTGAAACATGTTCTAAGGTCCTGCAAAGTAAGAACAGTACATACTGTTCTTCTTACCTGGAAAGAAAAACAATGGTAAAGGGTCTTAACAGTATCAGTCAAATCTGAATCTGTCGCATTGAGAAAAATGCTTTGTTTCTAGTTTGAAAAAACTTGTTCAAGTCCTGCAAATGGATAATCTACTCACTTCTGGGAAGAAGCTTACATTGGTGAAGAAAGGATCTCTATGCTATCAATATTTGCAGGACTTTTTTTTTTCAAATTACAGTTCTGGTTTCAGTGGCTGAGGTGGGGGTGTTCCTCTTGTGTTGCTCAGGGGTTTGCTAAGCTGTAGCACTATAAAAATAGCAGGAATCAGACCAGTTTTACTGCTGCTGCTTGAGGAAAGCTTCTGTTTCCCAGAAAAGGAAGACCCAAAATGAAATGCTAGGCAAAGGTAAAGTTGCATACACAATCTTTCAAGTGCAGTGTTTGAGATTCTGGTGCAGTGGGAACAAAGCTCTTTCTTCCAGAAATCAGATTTTAAATTAATCGGGTTCCTGCCTGATAGGATGATACAAAAAGGCTGGAGTACCGTGTAAGGTCCACTTTGGTAAGAATGCCAGCGTGCTTTACCTTTTCCAAATATTTCATTTGGGGCATTGCTCGCAGAACTTTTTTGAGGCCTCCTGGTACATAGGTATCAAAAGTCTATACTTTTGTTCTTATTAGTATTCGAGCTACAGTTGCATCTTTAATTTAATCCTAGGCATACGCCAAAGGTCAGAAATTGCACTGTAATTTTTATTCTTCCTCCTCCCAGCTTTGATGCCAACTCACTCTGTGATCGGGTGCCTCACATAAAATTGAGCCAATACTACTTCATGGGTGTTAAGCAGGTTGTTTTATAAAGTTTAATATCATCTATGAAAGATACTATAGAAAGCAAAGTATAAAATACCCAGAAATACTTTGGTAATTGAGTGGGGGGACTGGATGTTGAAAAAAATAGTAGTGTTTTGTATAAAATTGGAAAATGAACAGTGAAAGGCAATCATTTGAAAAAATCTAGTTAGAAGTGCATGCAATTTATTTGTGTTGATTTCACCATTTCAAGGTATTGTGTAAGAAGTTATAAAATATATGTGCCACTAAGCCTTTTGGATAGGGCAGGATATAAATCTAATAACTGTGATAAAGTTTAATTCAGCAGACTAGGTAGTTACAAATCATATCTTTATGTATTATTTCTCCATTTACATTTTTTATGCATACGAGTTGTGAGACACCACAGTGACCTGTAAAGCCTTCAAAATATTTTGAGTCAGAAAATATTTTAATACAATGTCATTGTAGACCCAAAATGGTTGTTTAGTACAGAAGGTCTGGAAGGAAGACAAAGGGCTTGATTTATGTGTCATTGTCCCAGCTCTGCCCCGGCAACATCTACCAGAAGCTTCCTGAGCCTTTTTCTTTGCCCAGGCAGTGGAACTTAGAATGGAGAAATAACATATTTGTTCAATCTAAAATGTGAATTTTTTCACTTCAGTTCTCATACATTTTAAAAATTCAGTTCTGATCACCCTGTTAAAAAGAGAAGCAATTCAGATGGGCACAGATTCTGCCTCTAACATGCATTCAATCTAGTAGTCCGCTGTCATTCCCAATGAAAATGTGGTTATTTTAGCATATATAGAAGGAGCAAAATTATCAATTCAGTGTTTCATTGCACTCATAAATGGAAACTGCTTCTCTGAAGCAGCTGTAACTTGACTTTTATGAAGAGTTTTTTCAATATATATTAAAACCAGATCTAGCGAGTGCATATTGTGTCTGCAACAGACTTTGCTCCAACTATTAATATGCCTTTATTTAATAAGGGAGTAAAATTGTCTGTGGCAGAAGATAGTTATGGTCAAAAAAAATAAATAAACAAGAAATAATGAACCAGTGCAAGTGTTCCATTGTTAGTACAATGTTCCAGAGTTCCTCTCTTATGTGCTCTGTTGATCAAATTGTTTTCTTCAATAGCAACAATGATATGGCTAGTGAATATGGCTGAGGAAGACCCAGAAACCCAACGGAAAGCTTCCAAAAACTCCACTTACGATAAACAAGGTAAGGATATCTTTTTATATGCTCTTCTAGGTGCATTACCACCTAATTTTAGAGCAATTGGGAACACCTGTCTGCTTTAAGGTACAGTCTTTTTTTTAAATATACTTGGTGCATGGGTAAAGTGAAAAATTATTCTTCATTTCTAATGAGACTCTCATCCTGAGGAAAGAGAGGTTTTGCCTAGACTGCAAAGAGTGTTCAATTAAGGTGCAGTTAATAATCTTGTAGCTACTTGTTTTTTATGGAGTAACCTTCTATTTGTTACTTATCCCAACAGTAGCAGTTACTGACTGAGCCCAGTTCAGCACTGTTGGGTAGATAGTTGTGGGAAGGCATCACCTGTGTTCAGGGGCTTAGGAGCCTCTCCTGACATGTTGCGAATGACAAAATAACCTCCCACTTAAATAATCTGTAAAATGTATGTTACTTGTCCTAACCATTGTGCCACAGTTATAGTCTTGGGTCTCATTTCTCTCTGGGCAAGGGATCATTATTCCTGTGCTGTTTGTACAGTGTCTAACAAAGTGCAGTCCTGGTCCATGTCTGGAGCTACAGTAATGCACAAAATAAATTAAAAATATTTAAACAAAGAAATGTTTCCTTGCGGTTATGGCGTTAACCTTGAGAATAAGTGCAAAGTGTAGGCAAAAGCAGTATAATGTTCCTGAGTTTACACACTGCTTAAAAATACTTCAGAGATGCGATCTGCTTATTCAACTTTTTTTGGATTGTTAATTCTAAAGCATAAAGATGACAAATTTTGTCAGTGCTGCTTAACAAGATATGTAGCTAGATACTTATATTAAACTCTACAATTGTACTTGTATCTGTCTCAAAGAGCCCCTGCACACTTCCCCAACTAAAGAATTTAATACAATAATAAATAACATTAATTACTCAACACTTTATAAACATTAAATGAAGCTGTTATAGAAATTCTACTTTACCATACCAGGGCACTAGTGTATTCAGTGATTTTTATTACAGTGCTTAGGTTCAGTTTACTGCAGAATACATGCTGTCTTCCATAATGGTTATTTTAAGGAGAGAATTAAAATCTTAGGTGACATTTTTTAAATGCTGCATTATGCATATGAATATGGTGACTTAATAAATGTGGAATGTGGCATCCTTTGTTCCCATATGACCTAACATGTTAGAGAAATGCTTTTGACATGGGTTTTGAATACTGTTTTTCTTTTCTTGAGCCCCAGCAAACCAGACTCAGAATGAAGAGGCTGAAGTAGAAGACGGAGGATTCAATCAAGAATGGCAGCAACAAAGAGATAGTAGAATAGGACCCATTGAGTCTACTCCTGAATCCCGAGCTGCTGTCCAAGCTCTTCCCAGTAACTCCCAAGCCAGTGAGGACCCAGAAGAAAGTGAGTATCATTCTCAGACCAAATAAATATAAACCTAAGTCTTATTCATTTTTGTTTAAGATGCTGCAAAAGTGTCGGGGGGGGAGGAGCATTTTTTTTTCTTTCTTTTTGATCCTCCAGGTTTATAACTTCAGTCAGGTTAGGTGCCTATGTGTTTTTAGATGTTCATATAGCAGCAGCAACCAATGTATTGTTTGCTTGTTGGTTTGTTTTCCTCATCTGCTGCTTGTCTGTCACAAAGGAGATTGACTTGCATTTGCAATTCATGTCTTTTCACCTCAGGGTTAGATAACTGCAGTGGGGGCAACTTTTTTGGCAGGCATGCCACACCAGTCTCTTTCCCAAGCCAGAGCTCTTGTTCTGCTTTCTGCTTCCTGCTCTGTCTGTTGCTGTGTTCCCTGCACTGTCCCACCTGCTCTGTGCCCCGCACACAGGCTATCTGTGCTACCTGTGGCACAACTGCCATGGGTAGCCTTCCCTGAACTACTGTAATACACTGCACAAAGTTGAGTGTAAAATTAGAAACTGAAGCTAATATACAATGTAATTGGCTACTTATTTTGCTGCAGCAGCCTGTTTGTCATGTGCAGCATCTTGCTATGAGTACATGATATCATAGTCCCAGAACCTGCATTGTCATATTTCAATTTCCAATTGGACAAGAAGTTAGTGTTGGGCCTGGAAAGCTCTAAATAGTTTAGGGCTTATCTGTCTAGCAGACTGCTTCACTTCCTATATGACACTGCCATGGTTGGGATTAGTGGAGGCCCTTACAACTTTATAGGAGAGTAGGTCTGGAAGGCACCTCACAAGGACATCTAGTCTAGCCCCTGCTCAAGACAGCATCAACCCTGAGTAAACTATGTCAGCCAAGTATCTGTGCAATCTGCTGTTGAAAATTTCCAAGAATGGAGATTCCACAACCTCTAGATAGCCTGTTCCAATGTTTGACCACTCTTGTAGTCAGAAAGTTTCTCTTAATCTCCAACCTGAATTGAATCTGCTGCAGTTTGAGGCCATTGCTCCTAGTCCTGTCTCCTGTGGCCACACAGAGAAGCCTGTCTCTATTCTTTCTGTAATTGCCCTTCAGGTATTTGAAAACTTAAGTCCTCCCTTAGTCCTCTTATTTTTTTTTTTTTTTTTTTTTTTTTTTTTTGAGACTTTTTTTTTTGCCACCTGCCCCAAGCACTGTGTGGTCTATCCCCAGTTCCAGGAAGAGCCTGGTGCCAGCCTGCAGCAGCAGCCTGCCCTCACCCCACACACAGATTCAGGGGGTACATGACACCCATGCCCTCCCAGGGTGTGTGCCCCTCCTCCCTACACCCCACAGATGAGCTGCAGCTCCATCCCACTTCCCACCCTGGCTGGGCAGCGTCTAACCCCTGCTCTGCTCCACTCCCTCCCTCATCGCGGGAGCCTCAGTCTGCCCCCCCACACACCCTGTCCCTCCCCCCTTGCCCCTTCCCCCACAACAGACTTACCAGCCAGATGCTGCTCTCCAAGCTGCCAGGCTGCATATCGGCAGTCGGATTGGTATTGGCTTATATGGCTCATTAAAAATTTGCCATCAGTATCATCCCAAAAAAATCTCTATCCGTGCACCCCTGTTACCAAGTGGTTAGTTATTTTTTGTGTAGGTGGCTTGGCTATATTCTTGGACATCTAAAAAAAATTAAGGGATTGTTTTAAATATTTGAAATTGTCTAGCATCTAGGTTTAGGAATCTGTCACTTGTCCTCCCTCAGTATTTGAAATGAAAAACACTGCAACTGGGGTGTTTGCATCTCGCTGTATTTCTACAACCAGTTTAAAGTAATGACAAACATGCAGTGCTGTGAGTCAGACTTGTCAGCCAACTTGAACTGGTTAGAAGGCTGTTGGAGAACTCAGTTTGGGAGCTTGGGAGCCATTTACTTTGTTCTATCAGTGTTCAAAACACTGAAATGAAACGTACATGCTTATTATGAGTATAATTTGTGTTCTAATGTCTACTCCATTTTCATCAAGTTACTTTTGAGCAAATAACTTTTGATATCCAGAGCATGCATTTGCATTTGACTGAACAGAGAACTGTTTTAACATTTATTGGTGTTGTGTAGAGCAAGAAGTGATATAATTTGTTACTGCAAACCACTGTTTTTGTATTCTTAAGGGAGGCAGCATGTTGCATTTTTTTAAATATTGTTTTGATGATGATGGTGGAGATGAATTCACAAAGCCCTCATTGAATTTGTGCTAAAAGCTTAATATTCTAAGCCCTATAGGCAGATGCTAAAACCTATAATTAATGACAAACTGAAAGACATCATTTTTCTTCTACAGCTTTCTCTTGAAAGGCCTCCTAGAACTGAGACCAAGACAAACTGCTAGTCCCAACTATGTGTATACTTCCTTGTTTTCAGTGAAATTAGGCATTTTTAATGTAGTCAGAAAGGAATTTTACTAGTGTTAGTCTCACTTTTGGATGTTCTAAATGTTCTGAGTTTCTATATTTTCTTTCAAGTTTTAACATTAAACCTTTCCACCAGCATGAAAATAATCTTGTTAATACTCTTGTAGTCTAGAAGTCTAGTTGCATTGAAATGTGCTGCTCTGCACAATTTTATTTGGTGTTGAGCTTGGTTCCTTCTCTGACAGATCTGCATTTAATCTGGCACAACTCCTGTTTGATAGAATAGAACTGTGTGTGTGTGTGTGCGTGTACGTACACGTGTGCCTACATTTACTGGTTCTAAAGGCTCCACATTGTGAAAGATTTAAGCACACCACATGGGTACCACCTCCTGTTGCACTGCACACCTACACTCCACTCCTTGGTATAAGTAGAAGAAACCAAAAGAATTAGCTCAGAGCAGTGAACGCAATCCTGAATGAACATTTGGCAGACTTAATAGGAAAGTCTTTGGAGAGGTCATAGTGAATAGGTGACTGTAATCTGCAAGGTATATCTGAGGAACCCCAGGAAGATGAGGGGTTGAAAGAAAATGATGAGCCAGGAGCTGAATGTCTGATAAATTGCCCTACAAGAGGTTTATGAAGGAAAACTGAGAAACTATACTCCCAAAGTAAAGTTTTTCTTAATTCCTGTACCTACATACATCACACCTATTTGGACTGGCTTTTGGCTAGTTAAAGACTACCTCTTTTTCTTTTGGGGTTTTTTTGTTTTCCCTTCTAATCTGACCCTCTGGACCCTCTCAATGCTTTCCCTTCTAATCTGACTTCATTCTGAGGCTCTGTCAAAAGGCAGTAGTCTGGGACAGGGCTGCCCCATGTCTAAATGGATCTCCCTGGCAGTGGCTGCACAGGCTACACCAGTATGGAACATGAACCCTTGGGCAGCACACCACATGGGTACCACCTCCTGTTGCACTGCACACCTACACTCCACTCCTTGCTGCAGTGCATGTGTACATGTGCACCCCTCCCCTCTCCACCCACATCTGCTCCAGTGACCCCTTGTAGGTGCTCCCTCATTGCTAAACCATATGGCATCTGGTCCTAGCCTTGTCCTGAGCAACTTGCACTATGCTGTGCTGTACCAAACTGCCCCTTGGGACAGGTGCAGAACACAGAAGCTGGGGGAGGAAGGGGGAGCCTGGAGACTCCAGCTGCTGTTGTAGCCAGAGCAGTAAGGGGAGTCATAGCCAGGCAGAAGCCCAGTTTCTGCAGCTTAACCCCTTATGGTCCACATGTGGCCTACAGGCTGCCAGTTGGACAGACGTAGTCTAGGGCAGTAACTTTCAAACTTTCTAAAGTTGTGGAACACTTTCATATCACTTGTTCTGCCTCAGAACCCCTACACCTGGCTCTGCAGGCCATTTGAGCTGATGTACAGCCAGGCAACCCAGCCCAGCAGTGGTGGTGCACCACCTCCCAGTCTACTACACTGTTACCCCCAGTCTGTGTGCAACCCCTGATAATCTATCATGGAATCCTAGGATTCCACAGAAAACCACTGGTCTAGGGAGTCCTTTTCCACAGTGTTGCAGCCTGAAGCGTGGTTCCTCCAAGTGTGTACAGGGAGTTCACAATGACAGTACAGAAATACTGAGCTGAAGGTGATGTCATGTAACACTGCTTCTGTGCTGAGAGACATGGGGTAGTATGTTGAACTCATACATAAGAGGACCACCCTTCAAATCCAAGAGCAATGCTGATGGGCCTCTGTGTGAGAGTTTAATCCAGCTGTAAGAGTATATGGGTAAGAAATAACTTCACAGAATACTTAAGATATGGCCATTCAGAATGGAACTGTTGAGGACTCCTCTGTGGAGGATGGGACAATTATCATAGTTTAGCAGCAGATGCAAGATCATTCTGAGGTGAGGAGCAAATAATGTATTTATTTGGATTATGGAGGACCAAAATTCACTGTAGAGGATGTATTCTGCAACTTTATCCTACTGCAAAATATGTCTTTAGTGAATTAGTTGATTGTCTAAAAGGTAGTGGGAGACTGTTGGTGGAGGCAGTAGTGCCAGGAAAAAATAAGGTGGGAAGAGAAGGAAGACCCACTTACAAAATAGTGTCAAGAACCCTTCTCAGGGGGACAAGAAGAAGGGGGAGAAACAGCATAAAGGAGTGAACAGTTGCTGAAGGGAAAGTCTGGGGCAGGAGGCAGCATCAGATTCAGCCAAGATAGCAGTACTCCAAGTCTTTTTCCTTTGGCAGGGAAGAGCTTGGAGTCAGGGCTTCATGGGAATTGCAGCAGAAGTGGCTGCTGCCGCTAGAAAAGAAACAAAAGGAGGCCCACAGAGGTGAGGTAGAAGGAGGGTTGAGTTCTCTGCCAATGGCCTGTCAGACATAAAATCACTGCCCAGCTGTTCCTCTTTAAAAAGTGCCCACTTGGGCCCTAGCTCTCTCTGTATTCCTGCAGAACAAGTCTTATGCCAGATGCAGTGATGTGTACGAGAAAGATGCAGGCTAGATGAAGGCATCCAAGGGGCTGGATCTGGTCCACTGGCCAAGATGTTTGAAACCTTTGACTTAAGGAGTTG